GGCTTTCCGTGTTTTCACTGTTATACACTCGGGGGCGTTATTACACATCATCTGAATGAGTACAAAACCTCCCAAACAAAAACACATGTGAACAGGAGGAGAAACGAGTGATCTCCTATGTAAACAGATGCATATGAAAAACAATGCGATCATCAGCAATAGACAGCATATAAATGAAAACTGCATAATTTTACAGAGTAAAATGTTGATCCAGGAAGTGGTATATGTTTGTGCAAGCTTTGGAGGTGTTGATGGAAGCGATTTACTGGATTTATGCTTTGATAATCGTACTGAAAATTATCCAGATGTAGTTTTTGATAAAAATGTGATTTTCTCACCTTTTTGCTCAAAATTATGAATTTTTTATGAAACCTACCTAGATTCAAGTGTTGATAAAAAAAGAATGCTTTAAGCTAGAATAAAACTGATTTTTATTGTGTTTAAAAGTTGAGGCTCTGATCTTTATTTTGGTGTATTGCATATTCAAATATTCATACAGCAAAAAATAATGGAGGCCATCAAATTTGAATGAAAATCATCAAAATCGCTGGCGGTGGCTGGCAACTTTTAAAAAAAAATATGGAAGGGAAAGAGTTAAAAGCGCTATATAAATAAAGGTGGCTTGACATTCCACAAACTGTCGTTTTGCCAGACTGCCCTCAATATAAGCTGTTTTTAGCATCTTACTAATTTACTAATGAGACGATTTTGAGTTCTGAAACGTACAGGATGTTTTGACACACAGCAGTGAGTAGTGAACAAACACACATACACACATACACACCCAGAGCAGTGGGAAGCCATTTTTTTGCTGCGGCGCCCGGGGAGCAGTTGAGGGTTCGGTTCTTGCTCAAGGAAGAACCTCAATACCACAATCTCTGTCGTGGTATTGAGGATGGAAGAGAGCGCTGGTCATTCACTCCTCTACCTACAATCCCTGCTGGTACCAAGCTTTGAACCCTTAACTCTCTGCTAGGGATGGGCGTATCAATCCCGAATTATCGATATATCGATACTGACACGAGTATTGAAAGTATCGATACTCAAACAAAAAAAACCAGTGATTTTGTTTATTTAATAAAAAATTAATGCGTACAATATGCATTGACTTGGACGAATAACCCATGTTAGTGAATAATTGTGTAGGATAGGACTATTTTCCTGCTCATCTGAACACATGCAGATGTTGCAAGACAGAATCAATCAATCACGGAGAGCGTTTACTCACTTCTGACAGTTCATTCAAACAGGGCTGCGTTTCCCAAAATATCATAAGAAAGCATTGATGCTTTTGGGAATGGCAGCCCAGAACAATGCTTATCAGGGGACAGGAAAAAAAAAACATATACTGTATGTTTGAGTTATATAAATTTATAATAAACAAATTTAAATTGTAGCCTACATAGTTTGTTCAATTACATTTATTTAAATTGAATGTTGAAAGATAATATTGATCATGTTCTATTCTGTAATGTTAATATAAATCATACACTGTCAAAATAAAAAGGTTGCATTTTATGCATGCAACAGCCTGTCACTGGCAGTCCCTTATGAAAATGAACCATGGTTTTACTAAAGTGACCGTAGTTCAACTATAGTATTTGTAGATTTCCATGGTTACCACTACAGTAAACATGTTTTAACCATGTTTAAACAAACATATAACCTAATAAATTACAATTAAGGCATATTGAATGTTAAAATGTGTTTCAAATATAAAGTTATCATTACCCATTTTACTCTTAGTAATTTAATAATTTAATAAATTTCATAATTTAAAAATTCAGTTTAGAAGTATCGAATCGGTATTGATATCGACGATACTGGCCTTGAAAAGTATCGGTATCGTATCGAACACAAAATAAGTGGTATCCCCCATCCCTACTCTCTGCCTGCCATAAAAGCGCTTGAATATTACATTCTTTAATATATTATATTTGTTTCTTTGTTCTGACGTTTACGTTATGCAAATCTTCCCACATAGTGACCTAGATATGTGGGGGCGTTTAATAAGCTTGGGAACGATTTACTTATATTGCTTGTAGGGCCTACTCGTCTTAAAAACCAGCATGGATTCACATCTTGGACTGATCCTTTCTGAAAAACCTTAATGTGATATATTTGCCATATCGCCCAACCCTATACAATGGATTAACAATCCCAGTTTATTTACAGGCATGTGGACTCTGTGGTGTTTTGGTTGAAGGAAAGCTCCATGGCAAACCTGCGCTGAGATCACAGACCCTTCCTGGTCCTGGTCCACTTCTGACACCACTTGTGACGAGGCGTGATGGAAAACTGGTCACAAGAAATGATGGCAGGGCCACAATAGCACTTCCGTGCAAATGTGGTTTTATTGACAGTGTCCGTACTGATTCACAGTCTATTTACAGTCCACCAAAGTGCACAAAATATGTATAAGTGATATCCGTAAAAATAGACAAAAATAGGGAAAAATGGAGGAAATATTTTACAAATATATTTACAACACAGTGCCTGTGCTGTTAAAACCTTCTACAAAAAGGTAGTACACACAAGACACTTGCAACGTTTGCCTCTAACTACAACCCCACACTGAACAGATATACCGGTTTGGCTTTTAAATCAAATGCCTCACCCCACATGGACTCTACGATATATTTCCAAGGGTGAGTATTAACACGATGCACTTAGATAAATAACAATAAACACAAGACTCATATAATCTTCAGTATCATAACAGATATACATAACCATAAATATTCATCATATTATACAATATGTGTTTTATTCATTATCATTCCTGTTAACTTGGGTTCTTGTATTCCCAACACACCCCCAAAACAAGCAACATTTAAGACGGTCCAGTTAACGGAGCGATCGCGCAGGCACAACGTGGGAATTCAGTGAATTCTGGCTTTCTAGCCCATTACCGGAGTTTGCCATTTGCTTCCGGTAACCTGGACTGCGACACCACACAAACAGACAATGAACAACCATACGTAATATGTGCAGATAAGTTCAATAAACTATTACATGTAACCTTATCTGATGTCTGTGTGTGTTTATTGTGGGATATTAAAGTAGGATGCGGTAATCGGGTGGATATGTGTGTGTTATGTATGCAACTGTAACATTAACCTAGCCCTCGTGTGCACACAAGGGTAGGAAACAGCAGAAAATTGGGGATAATGGATCGTGTGTGGGTAAAATGTAGTGCTGTTGCGATCGTGACAGAGCCCTCTGTCACAGACTGGAGATTAGTAAGACCAAAGAATTGGGGCCATCCTTCACATCCCTGGGCAATGGGACTGACCACCGCCTGTCCTTGACACAACATGCCAATGAGGTCTATAAAAAGTTCAAATTCTCATTAGCCTAGTCTAGTGTAACCAAGTTCTTACAATCAATAGAGTCAAGAGACCAAATTTAACCTTAAAGCTTCAGTGTGTAACTAGCAGCAAATGAAATCTGACTATGATGTTCATGAACATTTTCCTTTTATGCAGGACTTCACTCACATCCAAATCTGATAAACCTAAAACAAACTAAAGATGACCAACAACAAGAATTTCAGTCACAACACATTTTGCTTTACAAATGAGTGCCTTTTGCATCTGAAATGGCCTCATAGACTAATGCTCATCTATGTTTGCATAGACGTCCTTTACGATGAGACTTTTTGCCATGGACAATTTCACTTGAGCTCAAGAGGGCTGACAAAAAGGATGACAGATTCAAGAGGGTGGAGTTAAGGGATGGAAAGAGAAAAATACAGACAGGTAGAGAAAGCAGATGAGAGATGAGGTAAAGAAAAACATCTCATGAAACCAATTAAGCCAACAAAATAAGAAAGAGAAAACAAGGGTAGTTTGTGTCCTTGTTTGGTCATTGCAGGGTGGAATTAAAGACAGATAATCATCTTCCTTCTTATTTTAAGTGATCTTCGATCTGGTTATAGTCATGCTTAAAAGTAAGATGCTGATGCTTGGATACCTGTTTTCACTTCTTGGTGAGTATCTCTTTTACTAATAAAAGACAATGTTTTCTATGAAAAATAAGTCTTCTCTTAGATGGACAACTAAAAGGTTTGGTCTCAAATGCTACAATGGTTAAAGTAACCATTAAAAAATCAACAACTTATGCTGTTACGCTCAGTAATTAAACGTTTTTAGATCACTATGACAGCTCAGTCCATATAGTACGGTCTAACAACAGATCTTCTATTTTCTAAAATAACAGTGCATCCTTTCCTTGTGCCACTTTTGTTTGTTGTTCTTAATCATCACTTTTTCAAACAATGTTTTAAGCAAATTAATCCTTTGCATGAGTTAATGGTTAAACTCCAGCATAGGTTTGGTTTTAATATTAATATTGGGCCAAATTCAAATTAATCTATACAGATGCACTATAAGCGGATTATTTATTTTTGTTTAGAGTATTTATTTATTTTTAAGTATGAATTGGTGTACTAATATTTGAAAACTGATTTGTAAATGATAATATACAGTTGGTTGGTCATTATAAAAAAAACAAAACAATAATAATGAGGTTTCTGTTGTCATGAATGCTCAACTATAAGTGATAGAAATATTAGTAGATTAGAAATTTGGTGTGCATGTTATGCTTTACCGTGAAATTCTACACAGCCTATATAACCATTGCTGTTTATTTCTGCAACAGGCACCATTGCCATTCACTCCACGACAAATAACTTGCAAGGTATTTAACGTTTCTTTAATCTGTAGCTGAAATGATCAAAATCAAATGTTATCTGAAGAAACCAATGCAGTGTAGATTACTAATAATTTTCTAAGAAAGTAATGTTCTGATTATTTTCTAATGATGCAAATAAAAAAATACAGTGCAGATGAATTATAAAACATAATAAAATTTTCTTGTTTTACTCTCTAGAGAATATTGCAATCAAGGGAAAGGCTGTACAGTCATCTACATTTTACTTCCAGGCAAACAATGCCATTGATGGTATTGATTTTTACTGTACTCACACTGAAACCGAGATGAACCCATGGTGGAGGCTGGATCTGGTGGATCTACAAATCATTAGAGAAGTGATCGTCACTAAAAGGATGGACTGCTGCTTTGAACAAATTAACGGAGCTGAGATTCGCATCGGAAACTCTCTGGAGAACAACGGCAACAACAATCCCAAGTGACGAAAAATTTGCCTTTACTTATATAAATGTAACAATTTAAAATGGATATTTAAGAGCAACATATGAACATGTTGCACAATATTATGTAAACGGATTTTAAAAAGAGATTGAGACTTTTGCTCCTATTATATTGCTTAAGTTCATGCAAAATGATTAATGTTTTATATTCTAATTTTATAATCAATCATATTTATATAATGTTCTCTCTCTCTCTCTATCTGTCTATCTATCTATGTAGATGTGCTGTAATTTCTGGTATTCCAGCAGATCAATCAGTCTCTTACGCATGCGGTGGAATGCAAGGCCGTTACTTGAATGTGGTCATTCCTGGAGATTCAAAACAGCTCTCTCTATGTGAAGTGAGAGTCTATGGAAACGGTAATTCTTGACACCTAAAAATTTATATACATTAGGACTGTCTATTTAATGTGTTAAATCTAATTAATTATTTATGGAAAACCTATGCATAACCTAAGCTTCGCTGCGCAGACCGATTGGTGTATGACAACAGTCCCACGAGAGTGACTTAAAAGCATATGAATCCGCCTGCTCTCTATAGCTCTCACAGTTCTTTGATGTCATACACGATCGGTCTGCACTCTGCAACACCGCTTCAAGTCCCACACAACTGTTGATCAGTGATGAACATGATGCAAGGCAACAACTCACTTCATGATGTAGGACATTATAGGGGCATGAAATCGTGTAAAGAAATATCAAACAAGCAGCGTGTTCAGTTTCACAGTGCTGTTTTTGTCCCGGATAGCACAAGTGCAAATATGAAATTGATGTTATACAACACTTCAATAAATCAGAACTGAACATTGTTATATTTTAGACACAATATTGACTGTTTTTGCTCAAATTTGCCAAGGCATTTTACCTATTAAAGCCACAGCAGAACTGTTGGTAGCAGGTAGTGTATGCTTGCTTGCTTAATTGCATGTTAACTTGCTTAAATGTAACCTAACATGGAGCTTGATCAATTTACAGATAGCGTGGAATTAAGTGGTCATGCTGTTCAGTCTTCTGTACTTGAATACTATCGGGCTGATCGTGCCGTTGATGGAATAAAACACGCCCCGGGTCCAGCGTCATTTTGTACTCATACAAATTCGGAGTCAAGTCCTTGGTGGAGGCTAGATCTGCTGGATAATTACTATATTAGCACTGTGATCATCACAAACAGAGCCGACTGCTGTCCAGAACGACTCGACGGAGCAGAGATTCGCATTGGAAACTCCCTGGAAAACAATGGCAACAACAATCCCATGTGAGAAATTTACTCGCGTAACTGTAAACGGAACTGTTTTAATGGTGGTCATTTGATGTGAAGTCATCTTAGCCACCAATTTACCAAAATGAAAAATAGTTCAGAATTGCCATGAGAGTGTTTTAGTGGCATCTAAAAATAAATAAATTAATTAATTATAATACTCATAATAATAAAATTAATTGTTAAATAAAAGATACAAGATTAAATTCGTAATATTTTGAGAATAAATTCAAAATTATGAGAATATAAAGTCTTAGAAATATGAGATATTAAAACTGTTAGCGATATAGTCTGAGAGAATTATGTAATTTGCAGTGCATTATGGGAGCGGGCAATCGCTGCTGTGCTTTTTTGCAGTTATTTTTGTTTCCATTGCTTAACAATGTTGCTCCAGTTTTATACATTATCATTATGTTAAAGACATTTCTGCACCCCGCTATTCCATTCTGTACTGTTCTAGAAATATCCGCCATTGGTTCATTTGAAGGTAGATATAAGATCCCATATTTCCAGATTTGCTCAACAAGCCGGTGTGGTGCTTTATTTCACTCTACATTAATTGGGTGTGAAATGATTGTTGTGTTTTCCATCATCTCTTTGACTCTCTCTAGATGTGCTGTGATTACTAGTATTCCAATAGGAGCATCCCACAGCTACTCGTGTCCCAATATGGAGGGACGTTACGTGAACATCGTTGTTCCTGGAGATAGGTATCTTACGCTCTGTGAAGTTGAAGTCTATAGGGGTTTTCCAGGTATGTATTTAAATACATTAATAAATACACGCACATATACTCTGTGAGGGGAAAAAATTGCATTTGTGTTGTACTTGTAGAAGACAGCCACAATAACTGCTTCATCGTAAGTTCAAAGACATTTAGAAGCAAAAGTTTTCCTTTACAACAGTTTAACTCTAAATGGACACAGTTTGGTGTCGCACTGCCTTGTTTTCACTGAAGTTTGAAGTTTATCTTGCCAAATGTCAAGAATCTCAATTATCTCTCTTGTAAAACTCATTCCATGACTTGTCTGTGTTCACTTATTGTGTGCATTTGTATTTTTTAGTGATAAACTTTGTGAGGATGAAATTTGCCTCCAATACTGATTTAGCTGGCCCAGAGAGTGACAAACTCCTCTATCAGGTTAGAAAGAGCATGCTTACCAATTCATTATCTGAAATTAATAAATTCATGAAACAAGCTACCAATCTTCACCTGATCTGCTGAGACCATCGAAAAGTTTAAAGAAACCTCGGAATACACCTCTTCCAACTAATCAACTGTAAACAAAAGCACTTATATTTAAAGTCCCCTTGTAGTAAAAATCAAGTTTTTTATGTTGTTTATTTGTCTATGTGGTGTTTTTAATTAGCTTTTAGACAACCATGTGCCAATCCATTAATCAAACTATCTAGACAAAAGTCCAGAATCACATTTATTTCTCTTGTAAAACTCATTCCATGTCTTGTTCACTTATTGCATTTGTATTTTTTCAGTGCTAAAAAACTTTGTGAGGATGAAATTTGACTCCAATACTGATTTAGCTGGCCCAGAGAGTGACAAACTCCTCTATCAGGTTAGAAAGAGCATGCTTACCAATTCATTATCTGAAATTAATAAATTCATGAAACAAGCTACCAATCTTCACCTGATCTGCTGAGACCATCGAAAAGTTTAAAGAAACCTCTGAATACACCTCCAACTAATCAACTGTAAACAAAAGCACTTATATTTAAAGTCCCCTTGTAGTAAAAATCAAGTTTTTTTATGTTGTTTATTTGTCTATGTGGTGTTTTTAATTAGCTTTTAGACAACCATGTGCCAATCCATTAATCAAAACCATTGCTAAGTATTTCCTCCTTTAAACTGTAGTTTTCCAATGGCAGTCCCAGAAACGCGGTTTGAAACAGCCCTCGGTTTGCTACGTCACAAAATTAAATAACCAATCACATCAAGGGATAGATTCCTGTCATTAGCATATCCCTCTCTCCATTTATATAAACGCGGCGCACATGGAGATCATAGCATAGAGATCGCATACAAAATATACCAATAGGATTACCAGCACAAAACCAAAAATAAAATAGAGCAAAAAACCCATGAAGCTGTGGTTTATTTAGAACCGCTAACTTGAATAATAACCCAATGTACAACTATTAACAACATTAATTAACATTAACAACAATGTAAAAGTAGCCTGGAGTCAGACCCACCTCTCCCGCACTGGCGTCAAGAAACACAAACTTGCATTCGAGTTGCTAAGTATTTCCTCCTTTAAACTGTAGTTTTCCAATGGCAGTCCCAGAAACGCGGTTTGAAACAGCCCTCGGTTTGCTACGTCACAAAATTCAATAACCAATCACGCCAAGGGATAGATTCCTGTCATTAGCATATCCCTCTCTCCATTTATACAAACGCGGCGCACATGGAGATCATAGCATAGAGATCGCATACAATATATACCAATAGGATTACCAGCACAAAACCAAAAATAAAATAGAGCAAAAAACCCATGAAGCTGTGGTTTAACGTGAATTTAGAACCGCCAACTTGAATAATAACCCAATGTACAACAATTAACAACATTAATTAACATTAACAACAATGTAAAAGTAGCCTGGAGTTAGACCCACCTCTCCCGCACTGGCGTCAAGAGACACAAACTTGGCTGCATTCGAGTCTTCAAGGCATTTTGAGGACACAACATCA